CCCGGAGTTGATCTCTGTCCGGTGCCATGTCGACGTTGTACTTATACTATCGAACAAAAGCTTCACTAAGATCGTTGAAATTACGAATCCGAGTGCTATCCAAACCCATATACCACTTTAGAGTGGCACCAGTCAAACTGTCTTGAAAGTAGTGAATTAACAAATTATGATCATCAGAATATGTAGACATCTTTCTTACATACATAGTTAAATGACTCCGCGGACACGAATCACCTTTATACCTTTCAAAATCCGGTACTTTGAATTTGGTTGGAATCTTTACATTTGGAACTAAACACAGGTCATGAGCATTCTTTCCAAACAAATCGTTTCCTTTCAGCGCTCTGATCTCCCTCTGCATCTCTTGAAACTGGTCTTGAAATTCCTCCATTCTATCGAAAAGACCCAGACTTTCAGCAGGCTCAGCATGATAAGTAGGTTCATTCATGTATGGCATAGAATGAACCACATGAGCGACAATTGTCATAACTGGTTGAGGTAAAGGTGCCACAAAAGAAATTACAGGCGGCACAGTAGTTGTCTCTGGTTGAGGAAAGGACACAGTAGGTTGAACCAAAGGTTGTACGGCAGATTGATATCCTTCTGGCATGAAGTTATAAGGCATTCCCCACGGAAAACCTTTTGGCATCTGATGTTGAAGCGGAGAGTTGATTTGAGTCACAGATGCTGGAACAGTGACAATCTGAAAAACCACAGTAGTTGAAGTCTGAATCTCAGCAGCTGTAGTCGATGGCTGATTCTGAGCAGCCATCAAACTTTCCACTAGCACAGTTAACTTTTCCATTCCGACACGAAGAGTAGAAACCTCCTCGCAAAGCTCATGGTTTTCCTGTTCTAGATCTTCCATCTTCCTCTGACGATTGGCTCGGGTATCGTACCGATGAGACAGCTTGACAATCTATCAGAGTGGAAAAAGAAACAAGGATAAGACTCTAGAAAACATGTGAAGTGGAATGTTGGATGATGCATGATATGCGATGCAAATGATCATTCAATTTGATAGTTTTTTTCAAGGAACTTCGATAATTTTGCACACATCAATGGTAAAGGAATTTGGAACAACAAAAACTCATTTCATTAATCAAAAGCGGTAAATTACAGCTTACAACTTTGGAACAACAAAATAATAAATTACAACTTTGGGACAACAACCTAATAAAAAGCAGTAAATTACAACTTTGGGACAACAACCCAATAATAAAAAGCAGTAAATTATAACTTTGGAACATGAAGCTCTTTTACAGAGTTTTACAAAATGAAATCAGTAATAAAAATAAAACTAAGAACTAAAGATCACTCAGAATCATCAGATGAAGGACCAAATGCCAACTGTAACTGGAGCTTCCTGATCTTCTCTTCAAAAAAGTCTTCCATTTCTTTCTTCTCAGCTACCAGTCGATCAATGATTTCCTTTTGTGGATTAGGAACAAGAGAACGCTTACCGAATCTTCCTTCTTTCTCTTCCTTTCATTTGCATACTTCTTGAGTAAAGTATCCTTTTGACGAAGCTTCTCATCATGATCAATGAACCAGCCGTCTTGAATAAATAGCAAATCCTCCTTTTCTTTTAGATGTCGAGTCAGGACCCGATTCTCATATTCAGACATATTATACTTTTCTTTCCAAGCATCTCTCTCGGACTTCTTCCTAGCCAGATTTCCTTGGTATTCTCCCATGTTCTCGATAGGGATATCAACAGATGATAATGCAAAAATAGGGAATAAAGGTTTCTCAGGTTTGTAAGGCATCTTGAGAGCACAAGCCATAGCACGAATCCATTGTAGGTAAGGCTCCAAAGAAACAACACCTCTCTGTCCTAACATGTCTCTCCCTTTTCTATGGATGTGACGCCAAGCTCCTTCTATCTCCTTCTTAGCTGCTTGATGATCTTGTCCTTCTTGTAGAAAGAAGCCACTCACATGAATGTTGTTCGGCTTGTCCTTCATCGGGTATCCAAACTGACGGCATGCGAGAACAGGGTTATAGTTGATTCCTCCTTTCGTACCAAGAAGAGGAACGTTAGGAAAAGCACCATAACTATCGATGATCTTCACATCATAGTAAGCTCGATTATACCAATCAATGTCGAAATGAGTGAGAGCCATAATTTTTGGCGCCCATCGCGGCTCCTTCTCGAGATTCCAGAAAACATCAGACCTAGGTAGATAAGAAACATACCACTGATACAAAAACGGTGCATAACAAATAATCATCCCTCCTTGATAAGAGTTTCGAAGGTGGATGGAGTAGTAAGTATCTCCTAGCAGCGTAGCGACCGGATTTCCAATCAAGAAAATTCTGATGGCGTTGATATCCACAAACTTATCAACGTTAGGGAACAAGAATAGGCCATAAGCGAGTAAAGCAAAAACGTCTTCAAATGCAATAGTATCTTTTATCTCAGCGAAATGACGAGCTTTCTTCAACAAAAACTACGCAGATAAGCCTCGGATTCCCCCCTTTGTTAGTCATGTTCTCCTCTATCTCCGACTTCTTCAAGTGGGTGATGGTCGCTATCTCGTGAGATTTGGGTTCCTCTTCTAAGCTAGAAAAAGGAACACAGTCGATGACCGGAAAACCAAGTATATAGGAGTATTCTTCTAAGGTGGGCATTAGCTGGTAATCCGGAAAGGTGAAGCATCGATACAACGGATCGTAGAATTGGACCAACGTACTAAGGATGCCTTCCTTCATCTTGCGCTTCATGAGAGGTATAAGGGACCCATATTTCTTCTGAAACTCCGTCGGGTTCTCGATCTTAGGAATCAAACTCTTCAACTCTTCAATCTCGGGCTCCTTAAAACTAAAACTTCGAGTGTTTCTTCTTCCAAACTCCATAATAACAGTACCTGAGATGTCTGCAAAGATCATTCTTAAGTTCCTTGAAAAACAAGTTTTTTACAAAAAATGTTGATGGATGCATGGATGAATGATAATGCAACAGTTACACGCAAGTTCACAAATATGGGGTTCAAAGGTTCAACGCTTCGAGCATGGAGTCAAGGGTAAAGCCCACCCCAAGGTATGTACTAACGGTTTAATCACACCTGCAAGACAAGGTTCTAAAAGTTCCCAGAGTCTACATTCCTCCTTCGGATATTACCAACGTCTTGATTACTCAATAATTAGCAATATTCTCAAGAGAAACTCGTCTGAGCGTAGCATCGCGTAACAACTACTTTCGGATTACTCTGTTATAGTCTTCGCGCTACACCAAAAAGGCCAAGATGGGTTAGGGTTCTACGGTTCTCAGCTTCTCTGGCTCCCAGGTTGAAAATAATAATGTCTTCCCGATTACTCGGTAAACAAATATTACGTTCAAAAGGGCCTTCCACTGAGTGGGGGATTTCATGCCTCCTTCTTTGGGATTACTCCCTCAAAGTTCGCATGACTATACCGCCCGTCCTATTCTTAAGTGTAACTTAATTCGGGTATACGATTCGTCCTTTGCAAAAGAACCCAAACAACCCCAATATAAACACATAATCAAACAAATCAAATAATAATAAAACAGATAAAACAAACTAGGCTTAACCCACTTAGGGATGGACCAGCAAGAGGTCAATCTTTCCCCAGCAGAGTCGCCATTTCTGTAGCGATAAAAAATGTAGCGGGGTAAATCGGAGATCGAATTATTAATTAATTCGTCTCACAAAAGCAAGAGTCGCCACCGCGCTTTATTATTTCCAAGGGAAAAGGGAAAAGAGCGAAATAAAACCCTAAAGTATGCAATGTAAAATAATACTTTAAAAGTAATGAAAATACAAGGCGTTTTTGAAAAGAGATGTAGAGTTCGGGGGATTGGTTATACAATGGGAAGGTATTAGCACCCAATGTATCTATAGTATTCTATAGGAACCTTTTGAAATATTTGTTTATTAAAAATGTTTGTTTGATTAAAAATAAATTGTTTGGCCAAAAATGGGTATTGGACGAGTTTTCGAAAATTAGACGACCTAACGTCGAAGTTTTGACTTAAAAGGTGTGAGTTTTGAAATTTTGAATATTTGGGGAAAATTATCTTAAGTTTTTTTAACAAAATAATAAACGAAAGATGAATGAGGGTATTCGCGCTATGTGTTTGATGACATGAAGTCGACAAAATTAAACAATTCTCTTGGATTGAAACGGACGAAAGATACACGGATTAACGATCAATTAATTAAAATTATAATTAAATAATTAACTAATGAAATTTAAAACATACAAGCATGCATTTCAACGATTAAATAAATAATCAAAAGTACATGAAGATTAAATTAAGAAATCATAGATTTTCAATAATTAAACACATAACAAAATTAAATCATGGAACATGTATTTTTTGAATAATTAAATAAAACAACACAAAAATAAAAATAAATACTAATAGTATGTTGACGAAATTAAAAAAAGATGAAATTTTAATTAAATGTTTTTATGTGTTTTTTTATAAAAGTTACTAATTAAACAGCAAACTAAATTAATAATATTAAGTATGTTAAATAATATGGCCAAAAGAAATAAAAGATAAAAAAAGTGACTCAACCAAGACTTGAACCCAAGACCCTTAAATTGTTGTAAACACACTTTGCCAATTGAGCTTTACTATTATTCATTTATTAATGTGATTAAAATAAAACATAAGGAAAAAATATGAAATTTGAAAATGTACTAAAAAGGCCCAATGGGCCACCATGTCAAAGGGAAGAAAAATAAAAAAACTGAAACCCTAATGTTGTGAAGGGAGGGCGCCGCTGCCAAATAATTAATATTATTATTAAAGAAAAAACAAATGCAGTAAAGGGACTTGGTAAAACACAACATCAACACTCTCCAAAAAAAAACGTTCCTTTTCCTCTCTCTCTCTATGCCTTCCTCTTCCTCTAAATCGATTTGTTCCTCTCCATTACAGATCAAAAAAATTTCTTCTTCCAACAAACAAAAAAACTGTCCTCCTCTATTTTACAGATCCAAACCTTTCTTCATCTCTTTCTCTCATGCCATCAGATTCGGTTTCCTTTCTCTTCCACAGATCCGCCCACATCAAAATCAGAATCATCTTTACTCTCTCTGAACCTAGCCTCGAAATCAATGTCAAGCAAGAACGGTTTATTCAACCCGTTTTCTTCAAACTCGGACACAAGACATCAACAGTCACACGGCGGGAATCACCCACCGCCGCCGTAGATGGGATGAAGTCGGAGATAAAAGCACCACCACACATGTTTCTCTTTCTTTCACTATTCTCAGATCTTTGATTTTTTTTTCTCTATAAAATAGTGAAACTTCTTTGAATTGGTTTTTATTTAGATTTACAACCTGATTTATATTTTTACGGTTTGGATTTTTGTATAGATTAAGCTTGTTTTCTGGATCTAAAAAAACAAATGGTTTTTTTTTTAAGAACAAAATAGTTTTCTTTAAAATATTAAGAAAAAAATAGTTTTTAAAATATTAAGAACAAAATGGTTTTTAAAATATTGGAATAAATATTTTTTATGGACTAAGAACAAAATATTTTTTATATACTATTGTAACAAAATATTTTTTGGATACTGGATATTAGAACAAAATATTTTTTATATACTAATAACAAAATGAGTTTTTAGCTATTTGGAACAGCAACTATATTTTGGATATTGTAATAACAAAATATTGTTTTAGATATTTGTAATAACAAAATATTATTATAGATATTTGTAATAACAAAATATTATTATTTATTTTAAATATTTGTGACAGCACTATATATTTTTTTAAATGTTGTAACAAAAACATTTTTTTTTAAATATTGGAACAATAATGTATTTTTTAATATCATAACAGCAACATATTTTTTTTTAAATGTAACAATAAAATATTTTTAAATATTGTCATAACAAAATATTTTTTGGATATGAGATTTTGTAAAGCAAAAAGGATAACCAATGTTTTTTGGACAGCAAAGGCTTTGGACAGCAAAAATATTTTGGACAGCAAAGGCATTTGGACAGCAAAAATATTTTGGACAGCAAAGGTATTTGGACAGCAAAGGTGTTTTTGGACAGCAAGCATATTTTGGACAGCAAAGGTATTTTTGGGACAACAAAGGTATTTGGGACAGCAAGCTCTAAACAAGTTGGGACAACAAGTTCTAAACAAGTTTTTGGGACAGCAAAGAAGTAAGCTTTTATTACACTTATTATTATTATTAATATTATGAATACTAACATATTTAAATATTAACATTCATGCAGCAAATCAACTCAAATACAGTACAACAAAAACAAAAAATGATAAAGCAAATATTATATGGCAAAGAACATTGGTACAACAAGGGATTCAAGCATGAATATATGCAACAGTAGAGCAACAGTAGATAGAGAGTAGAAAAAGAATATACCTATCGGAGCCTCCCTGATGGGGCTTCTAACAAAAATGGTAAGCTTCCTTGAGTTTGCTATCTTTTCTCCTTGCTGGATTTTTTGAACAACACTAATTTTTCTGGTTTTTTCTACTTGCTGAATTTTCTAGAACAAACAACAATTTTCTGTTTTCTTTTACTGTTGGATTTTTCTTCCCCCCTCTTTGTGTTGACAAAAGCTCTTATTTATAGTGGAGTGTGGAGGATTTGAGGGGGGGAAAACAGTAGAAATTCAAACTGTTTTGGCAAACTGTTTCTATACTTTGTTCTCACAAATTGCTTTAGCCATTTTCATACAAATTGCTGCTACATTGATGCAGCTTGGAGCAGGTTTTTGGCATCACTTGGAGCTGATGTATGTTGCTGTTTTTTTCTTCTGTTTTGTAGCATTTTATAACATTTCTCTTTTGTTGTTTTTTCAGGTTATTTGGAGCATATTTTTTACCAACAAAAATGCAACAAAATGGGCTTGTAGAAAGGTTGCAAATATGGGTTGCACTAGCACTTTGCTGAATTTTTTTTTTCATGTTGAAAATAAATCTTGTACACACTTGTAGCTTCTTGTAACCTTGTGATAAACTCTAATAAATTGTAACATTGAATAAATATGCATTCTTCAATATATTTTCCATTCTTTGGGTAGTTATGAATGATCTTGAATCTTCACATAAACATAAATCTTGATATATCTTGATAAAAATTCAAGATCTTCCATTTAAATTTGGGAAATAATGGAATAATACTTGGATGAATTGTTGAATAAAGAATAAATAATAATGCAAGTCTTGGACTTTAATCTTGAATTCTTGTAATAGAAATCCAAATAAATCACATGGATTAATCTTATAACCAAATAAAATTCCCCATGTAATTAAATAGAATTCCTCACTAACTTCTTGAAATAATACTTCAATGTATTTAAATAATCATGATGTAGATCCTCCAATGTAATCACAAGAATAATCTTGAATAAATATCTCATGTGATAAATAAATATTCTTGAATGAAATCTCTTGAATAGCTCCTCTTTAAATATCACTTGGATTCAAATAAAGAAAATTTCAAATATTCCGAATAAATTCTTCTAGAACAGTTTTGAATTTAATTATCTCGTTTCGGCGAAATTCGATCCGCGTCGTCAGAAAATTTGCAGATGACTTTTGGTTCAAGAAATCAAAAAATGACGGTATAACCTGTTTTTTCTTGCATTTTAGAATAATGTGAAACACACATGAACCAAAGCCGGTAGAATTTTGACTGTTCTTCCTGAAAAATATTCAGAGAAAACGGAGACCATTTGCCGGACAGAATGTGGAAATAAACGCATAATTTTCAGAAATTCTTTGATGAACCAGTCTTTTGGAAATTAACGAACGACGGCATTTCTGTTCTGAGACTCAAAATCCTGATTGACGTACAACGTCTAATGCTCTTCTTTCAGACCTATTTTCTGCACATGAAAATAAAACAGCAAAACATGCACTTCGTGCTTGATTAGTGGTTAGTCATTCATAAAATGCTCACAACACTCGATAATCTCTACACAGTCAAAACTTGACAGCGAAACGTTCAAAACCTACCATATTTTGTGACCTTGATGTGTATGAAAAATAATGCAAATGAAGCAGGGATCTTAGGTCAAAAATTGGGGTATAACATCGGTACCAACCAATATGCCACATCAACGTAGCTACTGCTTCAACCGTGTCGATCTACGTTGTATAGTTCCCTCACAGTTTATTGTTACTTACCTAAAAGGTATTCCCCAGATCCGGGTTAGGATCTATAGTAACTCCCGATATAAAGCCCTCAAAGGTAAAGCAAACAAATCAAACAATAGAAGCAATGATAATGAACTAATCCTAAGGTATACCCCACTTATTAATACCCAGCAGAGTCGCCAGTTATGTGATACGGTGGCCAGAACCGGACTGTTTTGAAATGCTGGTTTGCGTTTTGCATTTGTATTCTCAAAATGTCGCGGTAAGCAAGAGTCGCCATCGACTTTTATTTTATCCAACAGGAAAGGAAAAAAGCACAGAAAAATTCCCTTTTTCGAGATTTTGAGTACGGGGGGTAGATTATAGAAAGGGAAGGTATTAGCACCCTTTCTATCCGTAGTTTTCTACGGGCTCTTAGGTACTTGCTCATCATTTTCAAAATTGCTTGTGTGTGTTTGATTTGAAAAAAGTTTTTGTTTTACTTCGATTTAACTCTTGCTTATGTCTTCAAGAGTGTTACGAAGTCGTTTTGAAAACTTTGTTTGAAAAGAGTGTAAGTGTGAAAAAGTTTGTTTGTTTGAGCAAGTACTTAAGAACTGATTTACCTACTCGAAAAAGAGAATGTTTCTATTCTTGTTTCCTTTAGATAGTGCTATCCCACTATTAGTGAGTAGGTAGCACCGTCGTTGGAGTTTTAAGGGTCAATTCGAAAGGGACGTACGATCACTAAAGCAATGTTAGGACATTTTAGTAATAACCCTAATGTCTTAAGATCAATATTTGAGGCAACGTATCCGAGGCAACCTTTCCGAGGCAACTTTTCTGAACGGGACTTTGATCTTTGTTTAGACAAGAGAGTGACCACTAAAATACCCTATACTTAATGATCGTTTACCGAAGGAAACCGAAGTGGGAGTATACCCTAGGAGTGCGCGTGTGCGAGTGATTCAATTTCAAGTTATTATCTTTGCACATTTAGGGTTTGCTAACTGTTTTAAAGTTAATCATACATTCTTTTCATGCAACCCTAATATCATACATCTAACAATTTAATTGTTTTGCGGAAATTAAAGTGCGGAAAGTAAAGCTACGCTATTACAAGGCTTTGGGTATTAATTACATAGCCAAAAACAACCCGTCAAAATGATAAACGAAAAGGAGAAAAATCCTAATTAATATATTACAACTGGTGAGCAATTACATTAATATGGTAAAAATAAATAAACACGATGAATCGAGAACGAGAGAGAACTAGGGTTTTGACCCCGTCTAACCTAATCAAAAGAGAAATTATTTTTGTTGTTTTTAATTATTTTTTAAGAAAAAGAATTAGGTTTTTAAATTAAATACAAATCTAATTAGTAATTAAATTAAATTAAAGAAAATAATTTACATGGCCTATTTTTGTATTTTTGGTTATTTTTTAAGAAAAAAAAGAAATAGAATTTAAATTACACTAAAACCCTAATTTTATAATTGTTTTAATTTATTTACAAAATAATTAAAGTTACCCTAAAATTAAACAAACTAATTAAATTAATTTTTGTATAAAAAATAAATTCTAAATCTAATTGGATGAAAATATTATTTTTTGTGATTTTATGTTTTTTTATGAAAAAAGAATTGATTTTTATGTGAATAAAAATAACTAAATGAATTAAATAAAAGAAATATAAAAGAATAGAGAAAAGTGAATGGGCCTGAGAATCAGCAATTTAAGGGGGTGAGTATCAACTTCTGGGTCCAAAACAATTAACCCACGTTTGACTTCCAAGATCCCAGGCTATGCGTTGACTAGGGTGTTGGTGGTCCTTCACATGATAGCCATCAGATCTGGCTTCCTGGACATCTGGTTGGTTAGATGATGATGGTCCATGGTGGACTTCAAATCTGTACGCACGCCTGATCATCTGAAAGAAAATAATATGAAATAATGGGGGACCTGGGATTCGAACCCAGACCCCAAAGCCTTTTCCACCTGCATCATTACCAGTTGAGCTACATGCGCGCGTTGTACATAGAAATAAATAATAATCGTTATATTGAAAATAAACAAAATAAAAAGCATCACGCGCGAAATTTCAAATGGGGCAATCAGGGCTTGCCACGCAGGTTGTCTTCTTCCTCTCTCCGTTGGTAAAAGTCACTGACTTTTACCTACGGACAAATGCCCGTCACTACAACCCTGGCTTGTTTCAAAATCTCCCATGGGCATGATAAATGGAGTCTAAGGCCATGGATTGATTCGTCTTGGCTTGCTGAGCACGATGGTGCCCTTCTTGAGGGCCAATTTTGCCTGTATAAAAAAGACCTAAAACAAGACCAGAAAACCTAGCAATGGCAGATTCCAGTTTAGCCAATAAAAATGCAATTAATTGTTATAGATATCTTACAAATGCTTCAAGGAACAAGAATATGTGAATGATTCATGTTGTAGGTGCCAAAATCATGTGTTTCGATTTCAAGAAAAAGCCAAAGTCGTGAAACGCTTACATTGTGTTTTAGCGCAGAAAACTCCTTGTTCTTGATTGGTATAGGTTCCTTAAGTGCTCAGGAAGCGAAAGGGATACTTGGAAAGGTCTGAAAGTACCTGCAAATACAAAAACAGATCACCTCTTTCTTTGATTTTTTTCAAGTTTAGTTCTGCCTTCTCACGCTTCCAAAGCTTGTGTTTTAGGTCTGCAATTTTTCCCTATATACCAAGGATTGAATTAGGGTTGAAATTATGCTCTCAATCTTTATCCATTATGGCTTTTGATTTTGATTTGATTCACTTGAAAATATTTCCAAAAATAGGCCAAAACCAATCTTTTCATGCACACAAAGGCCTTACACGATTTGATTCACTTGCTAGCTGGATATAGGACCTGAAACATGCACAAGATCTTGAGGTTTCAATGATTTGGATTTTTCATGATTTGTTTTTATTTAAATTGATTTAATTCAAATAAAAATCAAAATAAATAGAAAAAATAAGATAAAGAAAAAGGGGAAGAGCTAGGGCTCGTGGACCATGCTACCAACTCAAAACAAATGCAAAAGATTAGGCCGATTTAGCAAAAATTGCAATTTGAGGCATAATTGACTTTTGACAATTTTGCAAAAAAGGTCAACTTCACCCATGCATAACTTCCCCAATTTTGACTCTTTGAAGGTGTTCTTGAACTTTTTAGAAATATTGAGATGTCCTATACACAACCCTTTTGGTTTCATCTCAATTGAGTCTTCCATGTTCATGTATGAAGCTTTGACAAAAAAGGTGTTTTTGCTGACTTTTCAAAATGACCTATAATGTCCAAATTCTTAACTTCTTGTGAGTGAATATTTTCAACTTGGGAGATGAAGATGAATTGTAGGGCATTACATCCTCTTCAAAATGAGCTTTGGATGGGTCATTTCTCATAAAGTATGAGAAAGTTATGCTTGGTCAAAGTTGAGTTGAGTTTTCCTACAAAACCCTAATTTCTAACTTATTTTTTGAGGAATTGTGAGCAATCCTTGATGAATCATGATCAACCCTTGATCAAATGATGAATGATACTTCAAAATGAGGATGTTGACCAAAAATATTGAAGTTTGACTGTATGTAGGCCACAATTGACTTTTGCCCTAGCACAGTCGATTTTCAGGCCTTTGAGCAATTGATTGGGCAAACTTCCTCTGCAAGGCTTGAAACTTGACATGGATGATCTTGAGAACATATTAGGACAATGGTGGGCATTTGGGATCCCTTGGACTCAAGTATCTTGATGCAACATGAAACCCTAATTTGATGTAGACTGTCTTAGGAGAGAGCTTGTCTGGTCAACCCTTGGACTTCCTTGAGCAACTTGAGGATCTTTCTTGAAATGTTTTGAGAAATATGGGAGGGAAAATTTTGGGGTACAACACA